ATATATATATATATATAAATAAATAACAGAACTCAATATTTAACTTCAAATACTGCAAATATTAACAAAATTACAATATGATGCTAACAATTCAGCTTTGCCAAAACAGGAATAAACTGCATTTTAAAATATATTCAAATAGAAAACAGTTATATTAAATTGTACAAATATTTTACAATAGTACTGTTTTTTTTCTGTATTTTTGATCGAATAAACGCCTTGTTCAGCACAAGAAGCTTCTTTTAAAAGCATTAAAAAAAACAGACGATCTAAAACTTTTGAACGGTAGCGCAAACATATTATAGCTATAGTTCTGATAATATTATATTATATAAATGGCCTTTGAATATTGTGTTGGACTTTGGTTTACTGGTTTAGAACGGTCTATGATGATCTGAACCTAAAATTAAGTCAAAATTCCAACCTCCAAATAAATCCCAGATATAAAACCAAATCCATGCATCTGATTGCTAGGACTAGTGTGGCTTTACCAAGGGACATTTAAACAACACAGCACAGGTTTGAAAGGAGGAAGTGTGTACACACATCCACACTAACCTTCCTCTTTTCATATTTAAAAGAGGGTGGATGATATGGCGGTACAGACCAGCTGTACGGGTAATCATCCGAGTGGTTGGAGGCAATGCCTTGAGGACGAGCACGTGAAAGAGAAACATTATTAGTTTAAACATCAAACAAGACAGTTAGCACGGGAAAGGATTATAGGGCATCCAAAAGTAAATGCCCAGGGAAAAAATGAAGGCATGGCAAAGTCAAATTTTTTGGATTTTTGGCGTACGAGCATGCATATATCAGCTAGACTAGTTACCAGGATGGAAGACTTTGCCAACTGATAAAGTGGTGTATCCATTAGACTTGAAGTACTGAGGAAGTGTAGTGTAGTTCCCTGCATGAACTCTCCAGTAGGAGTTAAAATCATACAGCTTTGTGGTGTCTGGTCTTCGACTTGTAAGGAAAGACACCCTACTAGGTCCACAAACAGCTTGCTTTAAAAGAACATAACAGCAGTGTGCACCTGTTAGTTAAATGTACACTACCAATAACGCTTTATATAATATGTATCATACATATTTATGTTTTTAATGAGCAACATACCTGTGCATAGGCGTTGTGAAACACTGTGCTCACTGATGCAAGTTGGTCGATGTTTGGAGACTTGACCACCGGATCAGAGTAGCAGCCTAATGTTGGTCTCAAATCATCAGCAATTAAGTACAATATGTTGAACTGCTTGCTATCTACTGCAAAAACACCTGCTTCCAAAACGTGTAAAATCAAAAGAAACAACCACATCCAAGTATTTACAAACATTATGTTCATGCAGAATATAGTTTAAATTCTTAAAACTATCGCATCAGCATCTTTACTTTATGTTGTAACATGTAAAGCTACTTCCAGTGTTTTGTTTCCTGGTTTTCATAGACTGGCTGTGATAGGTGGGTTTGGCCTTAAAGACACAGTACACTTTTTCTCTTTTCTATCTACTGTACGTAGCGCTGCTGACAGTGCAAACCGAAAAAACTGCTCTTTTGACTTCCAGTGAATAATAAATTCCCCCCGTAAAAAGTTTCTGTCGTTGCCTTATGGTCACTTGTATTAAGATTATGTCTATTTTTATGAATTTGCCTATTCGTTGGCAAAATATAAATTAAAACTACACTTCTGTTGAATATGGTGTGTACCATAGCTGCTTTTATTTTTTTTTTAAAAACACACAATTTCTTTATGAAGTAACTCTGCCCTGTTGAAAAAAACAGCATATGCTGGTTAGGTATGTTTTGACGCTGGGATGCTGGTTTAAACTGGTCCTTTGCTGGTTTAAGCTGGTCATGTGCTGGCAAAGGACCAGCATAAACCAGCAAAAGGACCAGTTTAAACCAGCAAAGGACCAGCATAAACCAGCAAAGGACCAGCATAAACCAGCAAAGGACATGCTTAAACCAGCAAAGGACCAGCATAAACCAGCAAAAGGACCACCTTAAACCAGCAAAGGACCAGCTAAAACCAGCAAAGGACCAGCTTA